GCCCTGGGGGGGCCGGGGCCTTTCTCCCCCCCCCTTTCCCCCCCCCCCCCCCACCCCGGGTTAATGCTTTGGCCACTGCCTGCACCCCATGATTGCCTCTGTAAGTGAGGCATCACTGCCACCAGGACCACCATCAGCCAGGAGACCTCCCACCAAGACAGGGACGCCCACCCCTGCCCAGCCCCCCGTGGGTGTTGGAGGCAGGAGGTGGGAAGGCAGAGATGGATGAGCCATTCAAAGCCAGAACGCAATTGCTCCCCACACACACCCAGCTGGACGCCCCTTCCTCGCACCGGGACAAGGAAGGGGTCAACCTTACAGTACCTGAGTCACTGCAAATGCACGGAGCCAGCCAACAAGCCCGCTAGCCCTCCATCAGATCGCAATATCAGGTCAGGACACCAGGCTGGGAAGGAGGCCCGAGCCTCCCCCCTGGCAGACACACGCACTGAAATTCTCTGGCTGACACAGCTTTGCAGCCAAGCAATCTCCAAGGGGGCAAAAGCAGGGATCTCGGCCTCCCCACGGGGCAGCAGAGGGGTCATTTCCCCCTGTCCCCATCCCAGAGGAAGGTGGCAAGCTGCAGGGTGTTAGCTCAGTTCGCATCCCTGCAGAAGCCTTGGGCAGTCGTGCCCTGGAGTCCTGCCCCCGGCACACTCAAGGCCACCCTGACCTCCCTTGGGTGCACACAGACCCTGAGGGGCTGGGGTCTGGTGGCAGGCAGGGGAGCCAGCTCCTGCTTGGGACCCTGCCCGTCCCCTCCACCCGAGCACAAAGGGGACCTGGGGGAATTGGCGAGAGACGCTGGGGACACCCATGCCCGGCACAGCGGACGGTGACAGGGACACCATCCTCCTGGGCCAAGACAGAGAACGGTGGGGGTGCTGCCGTCGAGGGCCCCCCCTCCCTGTTCCTTCCAAGAGCCACGGGGCGGGACCACCCAGCTGCCAGTCAGGGAGAGACGGCGCAAGGACCCTCGCGATTGGTGCAGGACACCTCCTGCCTGAGCAAAGGGGGGGGAAAGGGGGGGAAGAGACGGCATTCTTAAAGGGCCAACACAGCAAAGCGCTGGACAAGCCGATTCCCCAGCCTCCAGAGACGATACCTGCTCCGACGTACTCGTTCCCCGAGCGCTTCCAGCGGTGCCACCAGCAGGAAGCTGTCGCAGTAACCTTGACTCTGGGATGTGCCCTGTCCCCAACCCAGGCAGAGCCCCGGATGGCACGGCTGGGTGACAGACATTGTCACTGGCAACACGGGGTGCTGCATCCCTGGGAACGGGTTTGGTACTGCTGCGGTGCTTCAGCAGAAGCCCCTTATGAAGCCCAAATGGTCTGGGAGAATCCGCTCAGTGTCCCAAGCTGGCTTGGTCACCAAGGGGCTAGAGCAAGGGACAGGCTTCACAGGGGGGAGCCTGCTGTTGTTTTGGCCTGCCAAAGCCCGGGATAGGGATGGTGGCAGGCAGGAAGCGTATGGAGTGTCTAGGATGGAGGAGGAGATGTCCCTGTTCCAGAGGGCCAGAGCTCACCCCGTGGAAAGGCTCCGACCCAGGGAGCTGAGGGATCACTGGAGATCCTGCAGGGTAGCGTCCCTCATGGCAGGATACACCACCCACCACAGATGGGGCCAGCACTGTCCCCACTGCATCAGTTTTGGGCTCTGGCTGTTGCCCTACAGAGCAAAGAGGTGTAAAGCCTTTGCAGGCGTGACACAGTCCGTGGCATTGGGCTGGATCTTCTTTGACCACAAAGACCAGGGCCCAGTGCCAGCCCATCTGTTTTCTCACTGCCAGTGCCTTTCCAGTACAGTACTGGGAAGTGTGGGGGGCCATGGCAAGGGTTCAGGGCTTACCACCTGCCCATTATCACATCCTTCCATCCCCACTCTCAAATAGTTTACTGCCCCCACCCTCAGGGGCATCTTGCCAGGACCCTTTGGTGGAGGGGACATCCTTGTCCCCAGCTGTACCACGGCCCGAACAATGCAGAGGAGCACTTGCTCCTGCAGCTGCTGCAGCCATTCCCACCTGCCGCAAATCAGAAGTGCTGAGTCTGAGCAGCGACGCAAGAGGAAAAAAAAAAAAACCAAGGAAAAAAAAAAAGGCATAAAATAATTCTGAGAGGGTGCTGCCTCTGTCTGTGATTCGGCCACAGCGAGCAGGCGGCACACGCAGCCTCACACCCGTGCACAGCTTCCGCTGCACCTCACTTCCTTCTGCTCTGAGGAACCGGTCGCTCCTACACACAGCCTCCCGGGAAGGAACAGATTACCAACACCAAACGCCTTGGAAACCCATCAGATAGATCCACCCCCGTACCCGCCTCTGCTGGCTCCCCTACCCAGCCTCACCTCTGAGGATCGAAGCCTTCCTGTAATTGAAAGCTCTCAAATTAAGCTGCACAATTCCCACCAGGGAAGAAGCACAGAAGCTGCCTGCTATGCGCAAACGCCTTCCTGGCTGCAGTTTTTTCAGTCAGGGCATGAGACATCACCCAGAGATAGCATATTATAAATAGTGCAGGGCTTGTAATAGGGTTGTTAAAACAACACCTGGGTGGAGGACTCACCATCCTGCTCAGAGCCACAGTCCAGCTCAGCGGAGCCCTGCAAGCGACTGGGATGGTCTGCAATCCCACCTCCCACCCCAAAGTGAATGAACATCATCAAAGAACTTCCACGGAAACAAAACCGGAACCATCAGGAGTCAAACATGAAGTGAGACATGGACGGGAGGAACTGCTCTGTGGCCACGATCTGTCAAAGGAAGGAACCAGCATCGCCCTTCAGCATTGCATGCTACACTGGGAAGTGACACCCTGGTCCCCCCCGGCCGCTGGTGGCTCCCAGCCCCATTTGCACCACCACCTCCTCAGCCCACACCAGGGCCCAACGCAGAGACGCTCTGTTCCCTTCCCCGTGCCTGACCCCGCAAGTGCTCCCCTCTGCTCTCATTTTGCAAAAGGACGGAAATACCATGCACAGCAAACTTTCTGCCAAGGATTTGCAAGTGGTTGCAAGCTGACCTCAGCATCCACCGGTTACTCACACAAGGGGTACCCAAAACTGCATCTGAAAGACGTATGTTTGCCAACCTGAGCAAACTGACTCTCTGGACCCTGCTCAGCACAGTGCATATGTCATCGACACTGAGGACGGTTCATTTGACTCCGAAGAAGACCCATTCAGCTACAGCTAACCACTCTTTAGAGGCATGGCATGACTGGACCTACCCCAATCCGTCACCATATGCATACGGCACAAATGAACCATGGCTCTGCCCGGCACTGGGACACACCAAGGAAGGAGCTACGTTACCTCGGCAGGCGCAGGGAGCCGGCTGGTGGTGCCCACGATCTGGTGGTACAGCCCTGGCTCACCATTCCTCATGGTGCTCTGACGGCTCCCCAGGGGGCTGGAAGTGAAGGGCTTTTTACACAGGAGATCACTCTGGCGAGAGTCCGTGGTGAGATAGACCTGGTGGTAGAAGTTGGGTGGCGTGAAGCCACCCCGCACGGCATCAATGTGGTGGAAGGGCCCTGGTGTCCTGTACAGGGTGCTCCTGGAGCTGTTGAACAGCTCCTTTGACTGCCTCCACTTGTAGCACTTGAAGATGCCCACTGACAACATGGTGATGAAGAAAGCTGCTGACACCAAAATCACAGCCAGGATGAGATAGAAAGTCACATGCCTCCTGGGATCATTGGCAGGTGCCACGTCAGTGAGCACCTCCTTCACCACCTCAGTCACAGAAATGGTGACAGTGGCACTGGAGGACAGCACAGGCTCCCCATGGTCTAAAACTAGTGTGTGCTGGGGAGCATCATCCTCCCGGAGCTGGCGGGCCGTGAAGATCTCTCCACTGTGCAGCCCAACTGAGAACAGGCTGGGGTCAGGGGCTTGCAACAGGGTATAGGAGATCCAGGCATTGTACCCTGCATCCGCATCCACCGCCACCACCTTGGTGACCATGTGCCCAGCAGGAGTGCCTGGTGCCACCACATCAGTATAGGTGGCAGTGGTGTTGGGATGAGGGTACAGCACAGTCGGGGCATTGTCATTGAGGTCAGTGACAAACACACTGACTGAGACATTAGTGGCCAGAGGCGGAGAGCCGCCGTCCTTGACCTGCACCATCATCCTGAACTCCACCTGGTCCTCATGGTCCAGGGAAGTGAGCAGGTAGAGGGTGCCATTCTCCTGGTTGATGGAGAACAGGTGGCCTACAGTGGGGCCACCCTGCAAGATGCTATAGGAGAGATGGGCATTGCGCCCAAGGTCTGGGTCTGTGGCGCTCACATCGAGGATGGGGATGCCAGGCACGTTGTTCTCCAGCACGTACACATCGTAGGAGTCCTGGGAAGACTTGGGCGCGTTGTCATTGACATCTGACACCTGCACCAGGATCTGTTTTACTGCAGACAAGGGTGGTGAGCCCGAGTCCCTGGCTGTGACAGTGATGTTATACTCCGATGTCTTTTCCCGGTCCAGAGCTGCTTTTGTTTTCAACGTGTAGTAATTTTTGAGGGAGGAGCTTAGCATGAACGGGATCCCAGGGGAAATGAAGCAGTTCACCAGACCATTATCATGGGAGTCCAAGTCTGTTACACTCAGCAGAGCTACGACCGTCCCTGGGGCTGCATCTTCAGGCACTGGGCTGTACACAGAAGTCACTGTCACCTCTGGAGCATTGTCATTCACATCCACAACTTCCACCAGCACTTTGCAATGGGCCACGCCAGGAACGACGCCCTTGTCTTTAGCCTGTAAGTAAATCTCGTACAGCTTCGTTTCCTCGTAGTCCAGCTGCCCCTTGACCCTCAACTCCCCCGTGGCCGAGTCCAGAGCGAAGAGTTCTCGTACCTTGGCGGGTGTGTGGCTGCTGAAGGAATAGACGATGTCCCCATTGGGCCCATCATCCAGATCATACGCACTGATCCTGGCGACCAGGGTACCACTGGGCGTGTTCTCCCTCACGCTTGCCTTGTAGGTGGACTGGTTGAAGACTGGGGCGTTATCGTTGGCGTCCACAACGTCAATGTGGATCTGCACGTGGGCCGACCGTGGCGGGCTGCCTCCATCCAGCGCGGTCAAGACCAAATGCAGTTCCCGTTGCTCCTCCCTGTCCAGCTCCTTCTCTAGCACCAGCTCCGCGTACTTGCTGCCATCCACCCTCGTTTGCACGTCGAGCACAAAGTGCGGGTTGGCGCTGAGCTGGTAGGTCTGCAAAGAGTTAATCCCCACATCGGGGTCTTGCGCGCTCTCTAGCGGGAAGCGCGCTCCGGCCGCCACCGACTCGCTGATTTCCAGCCTCGCCTGGCTGCTGGGAAAAACCGGGTCGTTGTCATTGATGTCCTGGATCTCCACGGCGCCGCTGTACAGCTCCAGCGGGTTTTCCACCACGATCTCAAAACTGAGGGAGCAGGGGGAGAGCGCTCCGCAGAGCTCCTCCCGGTCTATCCGCTCGCTCACCAGCAGCGCGCCGCTCGTCAGATCCACCCCGAAGTACTTCTTGTTCCCACCGGACACCACCCGCAGCCGGCGTTCCGGCAGCCGCCCGAGGTCCAGCGCCAGGTCGGCTACCACGTTCCCCACCGCGGATCCTCTCCGCGCCTCCTCGGGAATCGCATAGCGAATCGCGGCGGAAACCCAGTCGGAAAAGCCGAACAAAAGCAAGAGGCTCAGT